CTTCCCTCTAACCCCCCCCCCAAAAAAAAAACAACAACAACAACCCAACCCCAAAACTAAACAAACAGAAAAAAGCAAACGGATCTTTTGAACTGATAAATAAATAAGTGCTTTAATGTAAGTGTTCTGAGAAATGACAAGCGAATAAAAGATAATAATAAAAGCAAGATGAAAAAACGAATGACAGCTGAGTCAACGACAATTATACTAGTACTAGATCTAACTCTGTAGCCCTGTTATCAGTACTTCTAACTTCGCCCGTGTGACTCTCCAAGAATTCGGCGGGTCAGCAAGAACAGCAACAACAGCAGCAGCAACAGCAGCTGTACGTTTGGACTGCAGGCAAAGATCTCCGCACATCGCACATCCGCCTTCGACGAGATAAAACAAGCAGGGGTGATAAGTGGGAGACAATCCGGTTTGGAGCGTCAGAAAAATTTTGTCTTTCGCCCTCAGTTCTTCACTTTTTGATAGCGTCTCTTGTCGTGAACATGTCTTCAACGTTTCTTGTCGTCTCGCTGGGCCTGTTGGCTCTTGTTTCGGGGGCCTCAATTGGTGAGTGAAGTTATTTTTAGTTTAAATTATAATGTATAAAGTAAAGAAATTTCTAATATTTATCACCCACTTAATTTATTCTTTGTTTTAGCAAGAGTTTTCACGGCACTTGCAACACAATTAGGTCATATCATACATACCGAAGATTAGAGGCGTTACTAGAGAATAACTTTTATAGAAAAAAAAGGAAAGATAAAAACGATAGATTAACATTTTTGTCGTTGTTTTAGATGAAGTTTTACGGTACTTGCAACACAATATTAGGTTATAAAAGTGCCGGAGATTAGAGACGTACCTAAAGAGTAAAATACAAAGAAAAGTAGGAGGAGAGATAAGGACCTAGGACGTGTGTTAGGGAAGAAAAAGCAAACCACCTCAAACACTCGCCATCCACGAGCACTCGGTTCTTTCTGTTTAAGTTACAAGGCGGTGTCTATTATAGGACAATCCCCCTTTGCAAAGAAAAAACCCCCTCTGTTTACGCTTCAATTTGTCCGTATGTGTATGTTTGTGTGTGTGTGTGTGTGTGTGTGTGCGTGTGTGTGTGTGTGTGTGAGTGTGTGTGTGAGTGTGTGTGTATATGTGTGTGTGTGTGTGTATGTGTCTGTGTGTGTGTGTGTGTGTGTGTGTGTGTGTGTGCATGTGTGTGAGGAGAAGAAGGGGGCTTCCCGCAGACTACACAAGGTGGAAGTGCAGGGAGCAGAATGATTTTCTCATCCTACAACATACTGCCTCACCTGCTTATTGAGGTAGTAGCCTCTCCAAGACAATCACCTGTAGAAAGGGCGACCCCTCCCCCTTCCACCTCCCACCTTTCCCCCTGTTTTTTAAAATAGCATAACCCAACTCTACAAGACGTCCAACTGTCTAAAACAGTCATTTTTCTCCTTGACAAATAGTGGCCATTTTGAAAAAACAAAACAAAACCGGCTCCATAATTTAATATAACTGAATTCGTTCTGGTGAGAGTTTTACGACAATCACGACTGCATATGGTTGTTATAACACTTGGCACTGTTTATCAACCCAGTTTTTAAAAAAAATATACCAATACCCCTCCCTCTAAACCACCCCACCCCTTCCAAAAACCCCCCAGCAACAACCCCCCCCAAAAAAACCCCCAAAAAACCCACAAAAAACCCCCAAAACAAAAGAAAAACAAAAATAGAAAGCACAAAAGAATACAAACAAAAACTGACGATTGAAAACGATATGTGATAGAGTGTTAATTATATATCCTATATAATATTAGTATCTTTTCTGACCGATGATTATGCCTTAGTCTTAGTTTAGCTTTTTAGTAGAAGTTTTACGGCTCTCGCAACTGCATAAGGTCATATGAGCGCCAAGAGGTGGATGTCAACAGAGAAGTCCAAGAAGGATCAGGCTAACTCTACTGACCTCTCTAGCCTCAACAGCAGAAAGTCTGCTTCGAACTTTAAGACACTCCGGAAATAGCAATTTACAAGAGAGTGACAAACATACAAAAGAAGTAGAGGAAAATGACGATAGTAAGGATGATGAAAGAAAAAGCAGCAATTCCCCCTACGTTGTTCCGGCTCAGTATGAGCATGACATTGATAATTAGGCACATTTTCAATTCTACTGTGCATAAGAACATGTTAATATCTCCCCTTTTGGCAAAGGTCTAAAGACAAGTTCAGTCAGTAGCACTGCCCTGTTTTTTTTGTCTTTTTTTAAGGGGGGGGGGGTTACCTTAGTCTATTCGCGCTTCCGAAAGTCGAACTAACGATGCCTGCAGTTACTCAATTAAATTGAGACGAACAGAGTTGGAACATGCCGTATTTTCCTCCATGCAGAAGCAAAAGATACCGTCATGGCGTAAAACGACCGACTTCGATTGCGACCTTCAAAAACAAACGCTTATATCTTTCAAGGTCTTGAATCGAACGATCGGATGTGCTTACGAGTGAAAAGGTCAAAGTCATATTTTTTGCTTTCGATTTTCATCAAATTTGACACAACAAGGGATGGGGTCTATTCGAAGTGTGTGTGGTTATTTCCAGTAATCGACCCGATTCGATCCGATACATCGCTTTACTTTTTACTTTTCCGATCCAGCGGCCATCTGAGTTCTAGCCCTTTGGCCTGTCGATATGGCAAAGAATTTACATGTTTTTATTAGCTGTGTTTTGTCGTTGTTTAAAGTAGTCCGATCCAATCCGAATCGATCTTGTCTATGTGCACCCGGTATTAGAGTCATCAGTCGCTGGTGAACTGACAATGGCTTCAACTTTACAAACCTTTTTCATCGGCATCTGTGGTGTAGTGGTTAGGCGCTTCATCCTCGCACACAGAAGATGCTAGTTCGACTCTCGTATGGGGATACTTTTTTTTCTCGAATTTCTCCTTCTGTTTGCTGGGATGTTGTGTCCGTCTCAGCCTCGGGTTGGCCCTGAGGCAGGGGTGAAACAGCCTGTCTCTTAAACTATCAACATTGTGTTGATACGAGCAATTCCATTGGACAATTGAAGGCGACGAGGGAAAAATAGGCTAAATTTGACTCATTTAATTATTTTAACAGATCTAGAAAGCTGTCCATATGTTCCATTATTTTAATCTTTCAACGACTTCGTCTTCCTATAACATTGTTTTGACAACAATGGTTTATTTCTAGCCTGATTTGCTTTATAAAAAAAACTGTTTGTGAATATCTTAGTAGTTGATAACAATGATTTATTCTTAGCTTGATTTTCTTTTATAAAGAAACTATTTGTGAATATCTTAGTAGTTGATAACCATGATTTATTCTTAGCTTGATTTTCTTTTATAAAGAAACTATTTGTGAATATCTTAGTAGTTGATAACAATGATTTATTCTTAGCTTGATTTTCTTTTATAAAGAAACTATTTGTG